CCTGCGGTAATTCTTTCTATGTCTATACGATGTCAGGATCAAATTTATTCCTTATTCATTCTTGGAAAATCAAGTGATCATGGAGCTCTCTCTCTGCATTTTTTTTTCCTCAGAAACTGGGGGTGAGAATGCTTGTATTTCTTCTTATCAAACCTGCAATGGTATATTTCATCAGATACTGTCTTATGCTGGTAACATAAACGTAAGTTAGCACACCGTAAATAGCACAAAATGAATCAATCAGAATACATTTTCTATTTTGATGACGGATTTTGTTGTATCTTTGATCCATAGTACTATGATATTAGAAAGCAATGCGAGGGATCCTTGTGCTACGACTTCTCAGCCATGGAGACATTCCTGAATGAGAAATCAGTCAAGGATGCACTTGGAGTTGGAGACATAAGCTTTGTCTCCTGCAGCACTGATGTGTATTATGAGATGACGGGAGACTGGATGAGGAATCTGGCAATCGGAATTCCTGAGCTGCTTGAGGACGGTATCAGGGTTCTGTTGTATGAAGGGGAGTACGACCTCATATGCAACTGGCTTGGTAAGATCCCCGACAGATTTTATGCGTATATCAGGGGGAAACAATGTAATGTTTTCTGTGTGTGTCCGGTTATAATGGATAATGTTTCACTCTGTACAGGAAATTCCCTGTGGGTTAACGCATTGGAATGGTCTGGCCAGAAAGAGTATCAGGCAGCTCCGACTGTTCCTTTTGTAGTTGATGGTAAAGAAGCCGGAAGGCTGAAGACTCACGGTGCTCTGTCTTTCCTCAAGGTTTTAGACTCATTACATTTGAATTTGTGTCTGTATGCGTGTGTGCTTGTTTCTGTGCAAAAATTTACTTTCTATGCAACTTTCTAATGTCTTAACTGTTTTCTGGGAAAAACACATACAGGTTCATAATGCAGGTCACATGGTTCCAATGGATCAGCCGAAGAATTCTTTGCAGATGCTAGAGAGCTGGATGCAAGGAAAATTGGCCATGCAGGCATCCATTTTGGATGAAATTTAAAATTTCATTGATTCAAAACTGTTATTTACATTTAGAGCAACTATAGCTGCCATGTATACATCCTTAAGGACTGCTCCCAAGTAATGTCCCCTGCGCCATATACAACAGAAAAATCATTCTAATGATCCTGGGATTGTCTACCCTCTCTATTGTCCCCGTTGCCCCTTCTTACATATTCTGTTGCAGAAGTAACACATACAATGTGCGTAACATATACTTGCTCGGCTTGGTTAATATAATCACAAAAACATATTTGTATCCCTGAAATGTTAGCGAACTAAACAGATTCAAAAAAGAGAGGTTAAGAAGTTAAGAACCACCTTGTAATCCATACAATTCTCTCAGGGTTTGAATTACTAACTAGAAACCTGACCTTAAAGGAACAACTGTGACTGCTCTTAGATGTTTGGATTCTTTGGTTGTGACAAAGTCACCCTCAGCAACTCTCCCTCCCGAACTCCACTCGCATCTTCGGCTGCGTGAAACATCCCATAGGCAAATACCTGTATGAGTGATTTCAATTTTGAAACATTCTCGCAGACATGAACCTATGAACCTATAGGAGATACGGAGGAGAATGTTGCGGAGACCATTGAGGACCTGGTTATGGAAACTATCTCCATTGATATTGAATTTCCACGGATGATTTCCCTCTGTAAATACTTTCCTTGTTCATTGTACTTACCGTTACAGTAGCGATAGTCTAGGCGCCATCAATTTTACATATTTGTATATATATGATTTACAGTGCATAATGAGATTATAACCTTCCACATAGTTTTCCTTTTCTCACTGATTTTACATGGTATCATAGCAAGAAAATCACTGATAGCAAGCTCTTGTCACATTTTGCAGGATTGACAACAAGTTTTTTTTTTTTTTGCTACACACAATTAGCAAAATGAGTGAGGGAGATCAGACATTTGAGGTCAGATTTGTGAAATCAGGGGGATAAACAATAGCCCCTAAAATAAGCGACCCAAACTCACCATACTATCTTCATCCAAGTGATGATCCTGGAAGAGTTTTGGTGGCAACCCCACTGAATGGAGAAAGTTATCACACCTAGAAAAGAGCAATGCAAAATGCCCTCTATGCAAAGAACAAGATGGGATTTGTAGATGGCACTCTCAAGAAACCAACAGTGAATTAACCAGACTATTTAACATGGAAGAAGTGCAATTCTATGGTTCTCTCTTGGATCTTGAATACTATCTCCAAGGATCTCCATGACAGTGTTGCATATGCAGAAGGGGAGGATGAAATCTGGAGTGATCTACAAGAGTGTTTTTCTCAAGGCAATGCCTCACGGGTGCATGAATTGAAGCTTGAATTGGCCACACTCACACAACAAACTAAGATGGTGGCTGCATATTTCACCAAATTGAAGCCAATTTGGGATGAGTTACAGGCTTATGAACCAACACCAATATGTACTTGTGGCTGCACATATGGAGCAGCAAAGGAATACATGAAAACCCAAGAGTCAGAGAAATCCACCAATTTTTGATGGGATTGAATGACAATTTCTCAACCATTCGATCTCTAATTTTGAGTATGGATCCACTTCCTCCTTTGAACAAAGTAGATGCCATGGCAACTAAAGAGGAGAAGCAACAAGCAGTGGCTGCCTTAAGGGGACCTGCCATGGAAGCTATGGCCTTGGCAGCAAAGGTCAATCCTCATACACGCACAGCTCCACTAGGAAAGGTGCGTTGTGATCACTGTAAAAAGACTGGACACACCAAAGATAGGTGCTTTGAGATCATAGGTTATCCACCAAATTGGAAGTTGGGAATAGCCAAGACAAAGGGTAAGGGAGATCCACCAAAACTACAAAGCCATGAGAAGGATATGATCTTCACAGCAAATGTGTTTCGTGAATCACAAGATGCTGGAGGTTCACAAGACCAGTCTCCAATTACCGGGCTCACCAAGGATCAGTATGCTCAACTCCTCTCGCTTCTTGGGGGTAATACTATCTTTGGCCACTCAACCAACTCAACTAGTAAAACCCAAAATTTATCTTATTCTTGGATAATTGACAGTGAAGCCTCTGATCACATGACCCCTCATTTGTCTAAGCTTAATGAGACCAAACCTTATATTTCATCTGTTCACATACCAAATGGATCTTCTATTAAAATATCTCATATGGGTAAAGTTGTCTTGAATGATGAATTGACCCTTGACAATGTTCTCAGTATTCCAAGTTTTAAGTGTAACCTCATCTTTGTCAACAAAATAACAAGGCAACTTAATTGTGTAGTCATATTTTTTCCTAACTTTTGCATTTTCCAGGACCTTGCCTTGAGGAGGTTGATTGGAGTGGGTAAGCTTCTCAAAGGGTTATATTACTGTAATTTTGGACATGTTGCAATGGCTAATTTGGTGAAGCAGTCTAAGGGGTTGTCATTTGAGTTGTGGCATGAAAGACTTGGACACTTGCTCATTGAACATTTGTCCAAAATTCCTTTTTTATGTTCTTGTCCTTCAAGAATAAAACATGTTTGTGATGTTTGCCATAGAGCAAAATAAACAAGGTTACCTTTTCTTGTTAGTAATAACACTACTTCTCATTGCTTTGCTTTGATTCATTGTGACATTTGGGGTAGGTATGCCACATCTTCTAACATTGGTGCTTATTATTTTTTAACTGTTGTAGACGATTTTAGTCGTTGCACTTCAGTTTATCTCCTAAAACGTAAGTCTGAAGTTGCCTCATATTTGATGAATTTTTATCGTATGGTTGAAACTCAATTTCAAACTATTGCTCAAAACAGGTTCGTAGTGACAATGAGAAGGAATTTACTGATGGACTTGTGAAAGACTTTTGCCTTCAACAAGGGATTTTGCAACAAACCTCTTGTGTTAATACACCTCAACAAAATGGTATTGTTGAACATAAACATCGCCATTTACTTGAGGTAGCTTGAGCCTTACGTTTTCAAGCTAATTTGCCTTTGAATTTCTAGGGTGTGTATGTTCTCCCAACCACATATTTGATTAATTTAACTCCCACCCCTGTTCTTTCTGGTCTTACCCATTTTGAAAAGCTTTATGGTAAGGCCCCTTCTTATGATCACTTGAAGGCTTTTGGGTGTCTTTGCTATGCCCATAATCATTCAAAAAATCGACACAGGTTTGACTCAAGAGCCTCAAAATGTATTTTTATAGGCTACCCTTTTGGTAAATGTGGATATAAACTTCATGATTTAGAACATAAGCAAAATTTTGTATCATGGGATGTTGTACTTTATGAAGAAATATTTCCTTATGAGCTATCGATGGGTATAGAAGAAAAAATTGGCATTTCCTAACTATAATGTCACAGAACATGCTTTTGAAGACCCATGCTTGTCCACCGACTACACCAACAACCTACAAGAAGACAAAACCATTCCTACCAACAAGGTAGAGAATATCGTCATTCCTAATGAAATTGACATCCAACCCACACCTTTTCCAAATCATTTAAAATCCAATCAGGAGTCTATGCCCCAAGTGCTTCCACCATCATGGCCACATCGCGAGTGGCATGCACCTAGACACTTTGATGATTATGTATACAATATTCCACCATTAGTTGATCCCAAGCATGTGTCCCTCCACTAAGCAAACTCAGGTACTCTTTATCCACTATCCAATCATGTGTCATATGCATCTTTTTCCCCTAACCATCAAGCTTATCTTACGGCCATCACATCCATGGATGAGCCAAAGACTTTTTCCTAGGCCATTAAAAATGAGCAATGGAGAGAAGCAATGAGGACTGAGATACAGGCCCTTGAACAAAACGGCATTTGGATACTAGAATCTTTGCCTCTTGGTAAACCGGCAATAGGCTCAATATGGGTATACAAAGTCAAGTACTGACCAGATGGAACAGTGGAAAGTTACAAAGCTAGATTGGTAGCACAAGGTTTCACCCAAGTTGAGGGACTTGACTATCATGAAACATTTGCACCTATTGCAAAACTGGTGATGGTTCGAACACTACTTACCATTGCTTTAATAAGAAAGTGGCCACTTCACCAATTAAATGTCAATAATGCCTTTTTACAAGGAGATCTACATGAGGAAGTTTATATGAAGATTCCTCAAGGCTTTGATTGCAAGTGTGACAATAAAGTATGCAGATTACGTAAGTCTCTTTACGGACTTAAACAGGCATCTTATAATTGGTTCTTCAAATTCACAAAAGCACTTAAAGTTGTGGGGTTCAATCAATCACATGCAGACTACTCATTATTTAGTTCAACAACAGGTGCAAGTTTCACTGTTGTACTAATATATGTTGATGGTATTATTATCACTAGGAATGATACAACAAGAATATCATCTTTGAAACTATATTTACATGCTAAATTCTCCATTAAAGACCTTGGACCTTTGAAATATTTTTTGGAGATCAAAGTGGCTCAAACAGCTAAGGGAATTGTCTTGAGTCAACGCAAATAAGCATTGGATATACTTATAGATAGTGGGATGCTTGGGGCTTGTACTACTTCCTTTCCCATGGAACAACACCATCACCTTTCATCTGCCACGAGTCCTCCAATATCAGATCCTTTACAGTACAGGAGGTTAGTTGGGAGACTCCTTTACTTGACCATCACAAGACCAGACTTGTGCTATTCTATTGGTATACTTAGTCAGTTTATGCAAAAGCCTAAGCAAGAGCACTATGATGCAGCAATAAGGATATTACAATATATTAAAGGATCTCCAGGTCAAGGACTCCTCCCTTCAACTGGAAGACTACATCTCATAGCCTATTGTGGCAGATTGGGCTGGGTGTCCTCTAACAAGGTGTTCAACAATAGGTTATTTTATTCATCTTGGTCATTCCCCCATCTCTTGGAAGTCAAAGAAACAAACTACGGTGTCCAAATCTTCTGCGGAAGCGGAATACAGGGCAATGGCAAACATAGTCAATGAATTAACATGGCTAAAATCATTACTGTTTGATCTCTAGGCACCTCATCCGGAAACTATGACCCTTTATTGTGACAATCATGTTGCTTCACACATTGCAAATAATCTTGTGTTTCATGAAAGAACTAAACACATAGAAATAGATTGTCATTTTGTTCGAGAACGCATTTAGAAGAAGCTCTTTGTCATTGCACCTATTTCTTTTGAACATCAACTTGTGGACATTTTTACAAAGGCTTTGGGGCGATGGCATTTTCTTTCACTACTATGCAAGTTGGGCATTTGGGATCTTCATGCCCCAACTTGAGGGGAAGTATAGGAGATACGCAGGAGCATGTTGTGAAGACAATTGAGGACCTAGTTATGGAAACAATCTCCATTGATATTGAATTTCCACTGATGATTTCCCTCTGTACATACTTTCCTTGTTCACTATACTTACCGTTACAGTAGCGATAGTCTAGGTGCAATCAATTTTACATATCTGTATATATATGATTTATAGTGCATAATGAGATTATAACCTTCCACACAGTTTTTCTTCTCTCACTGATTTTACAGAACCAAAATTAAGAACACAACTTTAGTCATAAGAGCCAGAAGGTTCATTTGATCTTGTTTTGTTTCCCAAAGAAAATGTAGGAAAAGGAATCAGAACATGCACTCCGAAGTTAATGAATTTTTATAAGATAAATAAAAACTCAAAATCATGGATGATTTCAAAATCAGGAAAACAAGAAGAATGGGTTAGTTAGAAGTCACCAGCAAAACGAAAAAGGATGAAGCCAAAGAGAACCTTCGCACCCCTCTCAAAGCATATCACAACCATCACTTTTGTATCAGTTGCTGTTGACATTGCTAAGAAGAAAAACATTTTCATTTATGAGGTGACTCAATTGGTTAAAATTTTAAGATTTCAAATCAAAGATTTTAAGTTTAAACTTTAAATCTAATGAAGAGCCGTTCTTAAAAAGAGGAGGGATTATAGTCGATCATTATATATCCAAATAAAAAATAGAGAAAGAATCATCCACAAAAGCTAAAAAATTTAACCAAAAAATCCAAGAATGCCGCCTGCATTTGTTGCAAAAGTTCCCTAAGGAAGAGGCAGAATAAAATGTGCAATTCTAATGTCAAAATTACATTGTTTCATTAAAAAAATACTTTTAAAGGAAAGAGATTGGTGTTTATCAACTAGACATCTAAAAAAATATTCTCTTCATCCTTATTTAATAGACATTTTTTAACTTAAAAGTTGTCCTAGATTATTAGTTGTTTTTTCATATGATATTATAATTTTGTTAACTTATTGTGCCGCTGATAAGTTTGTTATTAATGAATTGCTAACATTATCTCACATCACATGTTAAATTTATGATTATTAGTCTAAATCAAAATCTTGTGGGCGTACTTATTTCATTTTTTGTTAAAAAATAAATCTATCCTTATTATCTAACTTTAGAGGTAGATTTGGACATTCTACCTTCTCTAGACAGCACAAAAAGAAAAATCATTTTCTAAGAAAAGAAAAAAGGTTCTCTCTTGCTAAAACACTAATATTTCCTTGAAGAGAGGATATACTAGAAAACAACAGGGAATCTTGGTCCAATATATTTCCTAATCTGATTCTTGAACATGAGTTGGCATGTTCTTCTACTAGGGATTTTCGATGAGTTGTAGTAGAAAATAAATGAGATATATTCGCTTTGAGTTTTTTACAATGAAATGCTTACAATAAAATTTATATGTTTAAACAATGTTAAACGAGTAGCTATATATAATATTATATGTCCTATTCAAATGTATTGAAATAATTAAGAAAGCATTAAGAATTGTGTGAAACAAATTAACAGTGTTTTTTATAATGTTATTTAAATAAAGAAAAAGTGTTTATCAACTTAATATCTAAAAAATTAGAAAGAAAAACACTACAAAACTGTGTGTTTCAACATTATGAGAATAAACAAAATAGTTTCATTTATACTTTAAAAATAGTTTATTTTAATCATTTTCAATAAAAATTTATTAAAATAGCATAATTTTAAGAAAAGAGATAATAAATATCTTTCCTTTTAAAAATGTTAAAACCTCATTTTGGTTACTCTATTTTAACAAAGCTATTTTTTAGTTTCTTTACTTTAAAAAACCCTTTTTTAGTAACTAAAGTGTAACATCTCACTTCTTTTTAGTCCTTTCATTATTTTTTACACACGTGACATGTTAGATGATCGAAATTTCAAAATAAAAGAATCAAAACGGGCTAAAATAGCTCCTTTTTGGTCCCTTTACTTAAAAAAAAATAAAAAGCCCTTTTTTTATTCCTTTACTTAAAAAAAAATTCTTTTTAATCCTTCTATTTTGGGATTTCCATTAAGATAATCTGTCACATGAGAAAAAAAAAAAAAAAAAAGCAAAGAGACTAAAAAGGGGCTAGACTTTTAAACATTAGGGACCAAAATGAGGTTTTGTTAAGTTTAGGGACTAAAAAGAGACTTTATATTAAAGTAGAGGGACCAAAAAGGAGAAAATTCTACATCAATATAATATGAGTCTCATTCTATCATATTAAATAAAAAGAAAAAAGAGAAAAAGTTGAAACAAAAATATAAGGTAATGCCACAATAACATGCCACATAAGATAGAGATGCTAATGTGTTGCTGCTGACTAGGATGAACATAACATCTATTTGACGGCATGCACTTTAAATCTAATAAACTCTAGCAATTATTTTAATCTACTTTTCTTTACAACTTTCATATATGTGGATGCATATAATATTATAAATATAAGTAAAGTGAAAAGAGTCGGCCATTAAACAATTTGTAAAGTTATATGAAGAAGTTTGAAAAAATTACTTTGTAGCGTGTCCATCAGACTTTTCTTCCAAATTAAGTGAGGTCGAATTTTAAGTATTATATAAATGAAAATGTTCTAATTAAATTTCTCATAAATGTATTAGAATCTTTTAAAAGGTCTATAATATTGTTTTTGGCAAATAATTAAAGTATTAAATACTCATTAGTTTTAATTAATTAAATATTAAAATTTAACAAGGAACAATAAGCAAAACTCTCTCTCCAATTTTTTATTACTTTGGTTAATGATTTTTATTTTAATAACTGAACCTAATTCAAAAATTTAGTTTTGATTATCAAACATTTGATTTTTTTTAATATGGTTCATTCCATTAACAAATTTCTTTTAATCTTTTTAAGCATAAAAAAAATCTTTTATTGTTAATCAAAGTGAAATATTTCAATTAATTAAAATTTTAATTGAATTAATTAAAAAAATTTATTTTAAATATCGAGTGATTTGAAATTGAATAAAATATGTTGACCACTAGTAATGAAAAAATATTGAGAAAATTGTCTAAAAAGAGTTTTGATTATTATTTTTTAATTTTATGGTAATTTATTTAACTATTATTAATAAAAAA